GTCCTGGTTCAGTCCTGGTCTAGTCCTAGTTCTATGTTGGACCAGGGTTGACTCTGAACCTTCTTCTCCCGCCTCAGCTCAGCTCCACCACATCTCGTGACTCCAGACGACCCGTTTATACAAGTTTATCCCCACAGCTCCACCTGCTGGTGGTGCAGGGTCATCGTTGTGTTAACGCTCCTTTTACAGCTCTGCAGCGCCTCCTGGAGGAGCAGGTCCACATTACACCACTGGGTGTTTGCCTACAGGCCTCTGGGCGTGACACAGGTGGAGCAACAAACTGTGACAGTGGGTTAGTCCTGGGTTAGTCCTGGTTAGTCCTGGTTTAGTCCTGGTTTAGTCCTGGTTTAGTCCTGCTTTAGTCCTGCTTTAGTCCTGCTTTAGTCCCGTTTTCGTCCCGTTTTCGTCCCAATTTTGTCCCAATTTTGTCCCTATTTTGTCCCATTTTTGTCCCATTTTTGTCCTGGGTTAGTCCCAGATTAGTCCCGTTTTTGTCCCGGGTTAGTTTTGATTTAGCGTTGTTTTAGTCCTGGTTTAATCCTGTTTTCATCCTGTTTTAGTCCTGGTTTAGTTTTGGTTTATTTAGTCCTCTTTTAGTCCTGGTTTAGTCCTGTTTTCATCCTGGTTTAGTCCTGCTTTATTTAGTCCTGTTTTATTTAGTCCTGGTATAGTCCCGTTTTAGTCCCAGGTTAGTTCTGTTTTCGTCCAGTTTTCGTCCCTGCTTTAGTCTTGTTTTAGTCCTGTTTTAGTCTTGTTTAATTCTTGATTTATTCTTGTTTTAGTCTTGTTTTAGTCCTTGTTTAGTCCTTGTTTAGTCCTTGGTTTAGTCTTGTTTTAGTCCTGTTTCGGTCCTTGTTTAGTCCTTGGTTTTGTCTTGTTTCAGTCCTTGTTTAGTCCTTTGTTTAGTCTTGTTTTAGTCCTTGTTTAGTCCTTGGTTTTGTCTTGTTTTCAGTCCTTGTTTTAGTCTTGTTTCAGTCCTTGTTTAGTCCTTGTTTAGTCCTTGTTTAGTCCTTGTTTAGTCCTTGGTTTTGTCTTGTTTCAGTCCTTGTTTAGTCCTTGTTTTAGTCCTTGTTTAGTCCTTGGTTTAGTCTTGTTTTAGTCTTGTTTTATGTCCTTGGTTTAGTCTTGGTTTAGTCTTGTTTTAGTCTTGTTTAGTCCTTGGTTTTGTCTTGTTTCATGAGTTGCTGCAGGTTTGTTGTTTGTTTGTTGTTTGCAGTTGTCAGTTTCTTTTCACGTTGAGGAAATTGCTGCACTGTTGTTACTTCCTGTTTACCACCAAACTATTTACCACAACAAACCCACGAAACATTTCTTCAGACGCTTGGTTCCGAGTTTCCCAAAACACTCATTAACTTCACTCCGTATCCAGGACGTCCGGAGTTTGTTTGAGCGTTGGATTCGCTGGAGTCTGGTTTAATCCCCGTCTCTTCTGATCCTCGTTGAGAAAAACATAGGTAGAAAATCTGAGGCAAGTCCAGACGAACGAACGAGGAATGCAGAGAAACCTGAAGAGTGACCTACATAATAATGCACACGCCACATCAGGAATCTAACCCACAACCTCCTCACGCACAGAGAGGAGAAGGAACACGGAGACACGGAGACCTGCACAAACATGAGACTCGCAAACTCAGAAACTAACTCACAATATCTTAAAAAACAAAAAAAAACATGAATAAAAACAATTATCAGTTCATTTAATGTACGTTTATTTAAATCCTACCGTAATGACCTGGTTTAGTCCTGGTTTAGTCCTGGTTTAGTCCTGGTTTAGTCCTGGTTTAGTCCTGGTTTAGTCCTGGTTTAGTCCCATTTTGGTCCCAGTTCGATTCCAATTTGGTCCCGGCTCAGTCTGGCTTTGGTCCTGTTTCGGTTCTAGTTCTAGTCCCGGTTCAGTCCCAGTCCAGCTCTGGTTTAGTCCTGGCTCTGTCCTGGTTCAGTCCTGGTTTAGTCCTGGTTCAGTCCTGGTTCAGTCCTGGTTTAGTCCTGGCTCTGTCCTGACTCAGTCCTGGTTTAGTCCTGGTTCAGTCCTGGGTCAGTCCTGGTTTAGTCCTGGCTCTGTCCTGACTCAGTCCTGGTTTAGTCCTGGTTCAGTCCTGGGTCAGTCCTGGTTTAGTCCTGGTTCAGTCCTAGCTCAGTCCCGTCTTAGTCCCGTTTTGGTCCTGATTCTGTCCCAGTTCGGTCCCGCCTCGGTCTCGGTTCGGTCTTGCTTTGGTCCTGTTTCGGTCCCGGTTCAGTCCCAGTTTAGCTCTGGTTTAGTCCTGGCTCAGTCCTGGTTTAGTCCCAGTTCAGTCCTGGCTCAGTCCTGCTTCGGTCTTGCTCTGGCTCAGTCCTGGTTTAGTCCTGGTTCAGTCTCAGTTTAGTCCCAGTTTAGTCCCGGTTCAGTCCCAGTTCAATCCTGTTTCAGTCGTGGTGTTTCAGTCGTGTTTCAGTCGTGGTGTTTCAGTCGTCGTGTTTCAGTCGTCGTGTTTCAGTCGTGGCGTTTCAGTCGTGGCGTTTCAGTCGTGGCGTTTCAGTCGTGGCGTTTCAGTCGTCGTGTTTCAGTCGTCGTGTTTCAGTGGTGGCGTTTCAGTGTCGTGTTTCAGTCGTGGCGTTTCAGTCGTGGCGTTTCAGTCGTGGTGTTTCAGTCGTGGCGTTTCAGTCGTGGCGTTTCAGTCGTCGTGTTTCAGTGGTGGCGTTTCAGTGGTGTTTCAGTCGTGGTGTTTCAGTCGTGGTGTTTCAGTCGTGTGTTTCAGTCGTCGTGTTTCAGTCGTCGTGTTTCAGTCGTGGTGTTTCAGTCATCGTGTTTCAGTCGTCATGTTTCAGTGGTGGCGTTTCAGTGGTGGCGTTTCAGTCGTGGCGTTTCAGTCGTCATGTTTCAGTCGTCGTGTTTCAGTCGTCGCGTTTCAGTCGTCGTGTTTCAGTCGTTTGTTTCAGCGTGTGTTTCAGTCGTGGTGTTTCAGTGGTTTCAGTTTCAGTCGTGGCGTTTCAGTCGTCGTGTTTCAGTCGTCGTGTTTCGTGGCGTTTCAGTGGTGTTTCAGTCGTGGTGTTTCAGTCGTGTTTCAGTGGTGGCGTTTCAGTGTTTCAGTCGTGGTGTTTTCAGTCGTCGTGTTTCAGTCGTCAGTTTCAGTCGTGTGTTTCAGTCATCGTGTTTCAGTCGTCATGTTTCAGTGGTGGCGTTTCAGTCGTGGCGTTTCAGTCGTCGTGTTTCAGTCGTGGCGTTTCAGTCGTGGCGTTTCAGTCGTGGCGTTTCAGTCGTCGTGTTTCAGTCGTGGTGTTTCAGTGGTGTTTACCGTGTCGACTCCTCCCAGCAGCAGTTCTGTGATGGTGGTGAAGATCTCGGCGTGGGTCAGTTTGTCGTTCTTCAGGAGGTAGGTCAGGTACAGACCGTCCACCGACGAGCCGCTGTCCACGCGCCGCTCCAGCTCCGACATCCTGCGCAGGACCAGCCTCTGAGCTGAAACGCACACAAACAAACAAACAAACAAACACTGAAACACTCCTTTTCTGATCTCTGTGTGGCACTTTGGAAACTGCTTTGTCTGTAAAACCCGCTGTAGAAATAAAGTGGGTTTGGATTTGGAAATATATCGTATCAAATCAAAATGGAAGGTCAAAGCACTGGAAAGGTCGTCTGTTATTAATGTTCAATTTTATTAATGAATAATATGAATAATGAATAAAAATTCCAGGGTCACGTAGAGCGAGTTAATGCAAACATTTATTAACCCGCTGAATAAAACTGTTCCTGTTTTCAGAATAAAAACAGGAGCCTGACAGAAGCAGGTGCAGAGACGGGACCCGGGTTTTCAACTAAAGTCAATCACAACCAGAGCTCAAAGAAACTCTGGTCCCAGAAGCAGAAGTAAACAGCAAGGCCAAAAACTAAACTAGTTAATGCATCTGATAGAAAAGTGTATTCAACAGATACATATATGAAAAACAACACACTGATGGAAGAAGAACTAGAAACTGTTGAACTTTTGGATCACAAATATGAATTAAATTGAAATGAAAGAGTTAAACAAACAAAACGACAAAAGCAGAGCCTGTGAAAGACTCTGAAAGTGGAAACAAGATTCAGATCTGGTCCCGGTCCAGCAGAAGTAAACAACAAGACCAAAAATTCCAGTGAATTCATCTGATATAAAAGTGTATTGAACAGATACATATGTACTCGAGTTTATCAAACTGTTGACCTTTTTTCTGTTCCATTTTTGGTTCTAAAGTTCCATCTGTTTTAAACAGACCATGAATGAAACATGGAACAAAAAATATTTCCCAAATTTCAAAGACCTGCAAATCATGTCAATAAATGTTTGTATTTCATCATATCTTGTGTTATTCCATCTTTGAACTGTTGATGAAGGGACAGGATTTAAAAAAAAAAAAAAAGTATTTAAAATGATAAAAATGTTCTTGGAAGGACTGACATATTTTATAGAAATAGTTTCCTTTCATTTTGAAGTAATATTAAAATATTCAGAAGAAAAAAGTCACAAATGATGTAAAATCATCAGTGTTGTGGAGTAACAGATTACATGTACCAGAGTAATCAGAGTACAAATGATGAGTAACTGTATTCAGTTACAGTTACTGTTTCAGTGAGTGGGAATTGGATTACAGTTACTTTGTTGAAATAAATGGATTAAACAGAGGGATTTTCCTGTTTGTTTTTTGGTCATTCCAGTCATTGCCGGAAATTTATGCCAGGTCTAAACCAGGTCTAAACCAGGTCTAAACCAGGTCTAAACCAGGACTAAACCAGGACTAAACCAGGACTAAACCAGAGGCGTCTCAGTGACATTTTCAGTGTCTTAATCACATTTTCCAGCATTTCCATGACCGTAGGAAACCTGAACATAAGAAGTCCTTGTTAAATCCTGGTTTTAGTCCTGGTTTTAGTCCTGGTTTAGTTCTGGGTTAGTCTTGGTTTAGTCTTGGTTTAGTCTTGGTTTAGTCCTGGTTTAGTCCTGGTTTAGGTCTTGGTTTAGTCTTGGTTTAGTCTTGGTTTAGTCTTGGTTTAGTCCTGGTTTAGGTCTTGGTTTAGTCCTGGTTTAGTCCTGGTTTTAGTCCTGGTTTAGTCCTGGTTTTAGTCCTGGTTTAGTCCTGGTTTAATCCTGGTTTAGTCCTAGTTTAGACCTGGACTATTGGGCTGTTGGATTAATGGTCTGACCCTCATTTATCACGAGCCCGGGCGAGTAACCGTAACGGGCAGGTGCGGTCCTGTACCGCACAGGTGCGGGCAGGTGCGTCCTGTGGAAAACTGTAAATAAAACATCACATCCCCGTGGCGACAGGAGGAGAAAAGTTCCACAGTGAAGCTTTAACCGATGAATCAAAAGCAGCACACGTGTTCAGAGGTTCAGGACCGAGTGTGTTTTTCTTTTTTTTCTCACCGACGTCGGAGAGGTCGTCCCAGGCCCGGACGAAGCGCTCCCAGTGCGGCAGGAAGCGGCGGGTCCAGCGCGGCGCTATGGAAACCGCGTCAGACATAAGGAACATCGTGTTGACGGCGCGAATGAAACGCAGCGTGTCCTGGGGAACGTCCTCCTGAAGACACCCCAGACGAGTCTCAAACAGGATCGCCGACACTCCTGCGGGGAAGACCGGGGTTAGACCGGGTTTAGACCGGGTTTAGACCGGGGTTAGACCGGGGTTTTAGTCTTGGTTTTAGTCTTGGTTTTAGTCTTGGTTTTAGTCTTGGTTTTAGTCTTGGTTTTAGTCCTGGTTTTAGTCCTGGTTTTAGTCCTGGTTTTAGTCCTGGTTTTAGTCCCGCTTTAGACCTGATTTAGACCTGATTTAGACCTGGTTTGAGTCCTGATTTTAGTCCCAGTTCAGTTCCAGTTTAGACCTCGTTTAGACCTGATTTATTGGTTTAGATCTGATTTAGTCTTGGGTTTCGACCTGGTTTTAGACCTGGTTTAGACCTGGTTTAGACCTTGGTTTTAGACCTTGGTTTAGACCTGGTTTAGTCCTGGTTTTACTCCTCGTTTTAGACCTGATTTTCGTCTTGGTTTAGTCCTGTTTTTAGTCCAAGCTCAGTCCTGGTTTTAGTCCTGGTTTAGTCTCAAATTTAGTCCTGGTTCAGTCCTGGTTTTAGTCCTGGTTCAGTCCCGGTTTTAGTCCCGGTTTCTGACCTTCGAACCCAAACTTGTAGAGCTCGGAGGCGATGTCGGGCACGGTGGTCCGGTCCGGGCTGGTCTGGCGCAGGACCTGGACTCGGTGCAGCAGATCGTCGACGACCTGGTGGATGACGGGAGCGTAGGCCCGCGCCTCCGCCGGCTTCAGCATCTTCTGGTTCAGGACGCTGCGGATGCGGTACCAGTTCTCACCGGTGCTGAACGAGAAAGAAGAACCCGAGTCAGTCCTGGTTCAAGTCATGGCTTTAGTCCTGGTTCAGTTCTAGTTTAAACCTGGTTTAGTCCAGGGTTTAGTCCAGATTTTAGTACCACTGTAGTCCTAAATTTGTCCTGGGTTTATTCCTGCTTTAGTCTTAGATTTGTCCTAGTTTTGTCCTGGTTCAGTCCTGGTTTAGTCCTGGTTTAGTCCTGGTTTTAATCCTAGTTTAATCTTGCTTTAGTCCAGGTTTTAGCCCTGGTTTTAGTTCTAGGTTAGTCCTAGTTTAATCCTGGTTTTAGTCTTAGTTTAATCTTGCATTAGTCCGGGTTTAGCCCTGGTTTTAGCCCTGATTTTGTCCTAGTTTAGTCCTAGTTTTAGTCCTATTTTAGTCCTGGTTTAGCCCTGGTTTTAGTTCTAATTTAGTTCTAGTTCAGTCCTGGTTCAGTCCCGGTTCAGTCCCGGTTCAGTCCTGGTTCAGTCCTGATTCAGTCCTTTTTTAGTCCTGGTTTAGTCCTGCTTTAGTCCTAGTTTTAGTCCTAGTTTAGTCCTGGTTTTAGTCCTGGTTTAATCTTGCTTTAGTCCGGGTTTAGCCCTGGTTTTAGCCCTGATTTTGTCCTAGTTTAATCTTGGTTTAATCCTAATTTTACTCCTATTTTAGTTCTGTTTTAGCCCTGGTTTTAGTTCTAGTTTAGTCCTGGTTTTAGTCCAAGTTTAATCTTGCTTTAGTCTGGGATTAGTCCGGGTTTTGCCCTGGATTTAACCGTGGTTTTATCCTGGTTTTAGTCTTAGTCCTGTTTTAGTCCTAGTCTGGTTGTCGGGTTTTAGTCCCTGTTAGTCCTGGTTTAGTCTGGTTAGTCCTGTTTTGTTCTAGTCCTGGTTAGTCTGGTTAGTCCTGGTTCAGTTTAGTCCTGGTTTAGTCCTGGTTCAGTCCCTAGTTCAGTCCTGGTCTAGTCCTGGTTCAGTCCTGGTTCAGTCCTGGTTAGTCCGGTCTAGTCCTGGTCTAGTCAGTCCCGGTCTAGTCCTGGTCTAGTCCTGTCTGTTCAGTCCCGGTCTAGTCCTGGTTAGTCCCTAGTCTGGTTCAGTCCCGGTCTAGTCCGGTAGTCCTCAGTCCCGTCTAGTCCTGGTTCAGTCCCGGTCTAGTCTGGTTCAGTCCTGGTTCAGTCCCGGTCTAGTCCCGGTCCAGTCCCGGTCTAGTCCCGGTCCCGGTCTAGTCCCGGTCCAGTCCCGGTCTAGTCCTCACTCCACGTGGAGTCCGTAGGCTTGTCCTCTCAGGTCTCTGTATTCTTTCCAGTGCGGCAGGTGCACTCTGACAGGGTACCGCCCCTCCTGCCTGATCACCTGTCGGCGACAGGACCAGAGCCGTTACATTTGGAGGAAAACCAGATTTTCTCAGAGCCGATTTATTTAGAGACTCACCTGAGAGATGAGCTCGGCCGACGCCACGTTCACGAACTCAAAAGGTCCGAACCGAGAACGCCAAATCGGACCGTAACGTTTTTTCTGGAAATCCTGGAAAAACACAAACAAACAAACAAACAAACACAATGAAAATATTAAAGGTAAATGCCGTATTTATTTATTTTATTTTTTTAAAAAGATGAGTGCTGTTTTTTTTTTTTTTTTGTTGTTGTTGTTTTTTTAAGGTGAGTGCTGTTTTTTTTAAATTATTTATTTATTTTTTATAAAGGTGAGCGCTATTTTTTTATTTCTTTTTAATATAAAGGTGAGTGCAGTTTTTTTGTTGTTTTTTTTAAGGTGAGTGCTGTTTTTTTTTTTTTTTAAGATGTGTGCTGTTTTTTTAAATAAAAAAACTTTTTTTAAGATGTGTGCTGTTTTTTTATTTTTTTTTTTTATAAAAAGGTGAGGGCTGTTTTTTTTTTTTTTTTTTTTTTGCTGGTTTTCAGATTGAGATTTCCTCATGATCCTTATGAAATCTCCAAAAGCAAAATTCAGAAATGTTGAACCTGATCATGTGTGTGTGTGTGTGTGTGTGTGTGTTGCATGTGTGTGTTGTGTGTGTGTGTGTGTGTTGCATGTGTGTGTGTGTGTTGCATGTGTGTGTGTGTGTGTGTGTGTGTGTGTGTTGCATGTGTGTGTGTGTGTGTGTGTGTGTGTGTGTGTGTGTGTTGCATGTGTGTGTGTGTGTGTGTTGCATGTGTGTGTGTGTGTGTGTGTGTGTGTTGCATGTGTGTGTGTGTGTGTGTTGCATGTGTGTGTGTGTGTGTGTGTGTGTGTGTGTGTGTGTGTATGTGTGTGTGTGTGTGTGTGTTGCATGTGTGTGTGTGTGTGTGTGTGTGTGTGTTGCATGTGTGTGTGTGTGTGTTGCATGTGTGTGTGTGTGTGTGTTGCATGTGTGTGTGTGTGTGTGTGTGTGCATGTGTGTGTGTGTGTGTGTGTGTTGAAGTTGTTGGATCAGGTTGTTCTTCTGGGTAAATGTTTTCTTTGGCGTCTGTTGTGGTTTTGTTTTAATAATCAGACACAGTGAGAGGAACATGTGACTGAGGAAATATAAGACAAATATAAGACAAATATAAGACAAATATAAGACAAATATAAGACAAATATAAGACAAATATAAGACAAATATAAGACAAATATAAGACAAATATAAGACAAATATAAGACAAATATAAGACAATCTGCTCTGGGAGCCTGACACTTCTTCAGTGTTTTTGCTGTTGATGTTCTGATGTTTTTCCTAGATCTGTTGCTCCACTGACGTCTTCTTCACCTTCCAGACCTTCTCCAGCTCCTCCTCGAGCCCCTGGGATTTCTCGAGTTTCTCGTGTTCCTTTCTCCTCATGTTGTGATGTCCAGCACCTGGGCTCTGCTCTGCTCTTCTCCAGCTCCACTGTGTCTGTTTGGTCCATCACCGTCCTGTCCGTCTGGATCTGAAGTCCCACAGGATCTCGGCTCGATGTTTCCTACTTTGACCCTGGGATCTCCAGCCCGAACTCTGCACAGATGTTTCTGTACATCAGGGGTCTCCAACCTTTTCCTTTTGGTGAGCTGCCTTCATGAAACGAAAATGCCAGAGAGCTGCTCGTTTTTCAACTGTCACAAGAAAGTGAGAAATGAGAAGAGCTGTGGCTTCTTCGCTCTGGACGAGGAACAGCCTGATGTCTGTTCAACATGAACCATTATCCATTTATTAGTACAAGTTAGACACAAAAATGACACATTTACAACGAGAATTCATCAGATTTTAGTAAACAAGAGCAGGACATAGAATTCAGAAGTGGTTTGGTGAGTTACTTGGAGTGGGATGAAGAGCTGCTGGTGGCTCCTGAGCTCCAGGCTGGAGACTCCTGCTGTAAACTCTGCTCTCTGCCTCTTGGTTCTGTGGCTCCATGTTTGTTTCTCTGCAGCGTCTCACACCTGCAGTTCTGTTCTGGACTGTGTCAGGAGCCTCTGTGCTCAGTCTACACCGTGACTCTGGTCTGGTGTGGGAGATCGGAGCCTCTCAGGTTCTGCTCCTGAGCTCCAGGATGAGCCTCTGTGTGTCCTTCAGATGATGATGGTCCCTCCAGCTCTTCGTCCTCTGAACCTCATCTGCTCCTCATCTGTCGGGGCCTTGTCCTTGATGTTCTCATGGAGCCTGGATGTTTCACTCTCTCGTCCTCGGCTGGTTCCTTGGGCTGGTTCCTTGGGCTGGTTCCTTGGGCTGGTTCCTTGGGCTGGTTCCCTTGGGCTCGTCCCTTCGGCTCGTTCAGGGTGTTGGGTTTGAGATGAATCCTCCTGCAGGATTCTTGTGGATCTGATCACCGACAGACGGAGATGTTCACGTTCTCGTCCTTGTAAATGTTTTTAATTGTTTATTGTATTTTTATATAAACACTTTTATTCATGTGAAATATTCACAATAGTTCATATATTGATTTATCGTCTGTGGCAGCTGCTCGAGCACAAAACACTTTCACAGACAAAAGGTTCATGTTGATTTGAAATAAAGTGGATCTGCGACTCGAGACACAAAATCAGTGATGAAGAGACACAAACTGACACGATTCAACTCAGAGTGTGAAAAAGTGATGCTGTCCACATGACGAGTCGTGTCCCGTGAACACAGACGAGCGACTTGATTAATGAACCAAAACCAAAAATGTAAAAGTTCATATTTTTCATTCTTCGGTCTATCAGCGTAAAATAAAAAGTGCTGGAAAGATCTGACCTCCGTAAGTAATCGAGTAAATGAGGAAGTGAGTATTTGTCGAGCGCCTGTCACACTCCCTGTCGTGTTCGTCCGTGTGCAACGTCTGAACCACTGACCACATCTCGTTTCTCTTTCCTCTTTTCTCACTTCCTTCTCCTTGATCCTCCATTTTTCAGCTGTCAATCAAACGCTCCAGACGATGAAGAGTCCTGAAGCTCCGAGGAGACGAGGGAAGGAAACGACGAAGGAAACATGAGAGAGGCTCCAGGAGAGAAACAGCAGATAAAAAGAAAAGTCTTACGGTGAAGAGTAAAAGTACAGTAGGTCTGACATGTTAAATCATTCTGAATTTCACATTAAAACTGATTTTTAAAAGTTAAAATGAGTTTAATCTTAAAATAAAGTCATTGTTCCTAAAGTCCTGCAGAATCGAGGAGAAGGAAGCCAGGAAAAAAAGAAATGTGTCCACAGATCCAAAATAAATCACGACAGACACAGCTCCTGGATCGACTCGAGACGCCCGGATCGATTTACAATTTCATATTTTATCAAAAATCTTTTCAACTCCCCACGCCGAGTCTGATTCTTGCTGCGCCAACGACATTCTTACAAACTCCCACAGAAACTCAAATCCAGTCTGACTCAAAGAGAAACAAAGTTCTGATGGAAGAAGAACTAGAAACTGTTGAACTTTTGGATCACAAATATGAATTAAATTGAAATGAAAGAGTTAAACAAACAAAACGACAAAAGCAGAGCCTGTGAAAGACTCTGAAAGTGGAAACAAGATTCAGATCTGGTCCCGGTCAAGCAGAAGTAAACAACAAGACCAAAAATTCCAGTGAATTCATCTGATATAAAAGTGTATTGAACAGATACATATGTACTCGAGTTTATCAAACTGTTGACCTTTTTTCTGTTCCATTTTTGGTTCTAAAGTTCCATATGTTTTAAACAGACCATGAATGAAACATGGAACAAAAAATATTTCCCAAATTTCAAAGACCTGCAAATCATGTCAATAAATGTTTGTATTTCATCATATCTTGTGTTATTCCATCTTTGAACTGTTGGTGAAGGGACAGGATTAAAAAAAAAAAAAAAAAAAGGATTTAAAATGATAAAAATTACCTTGGAAGGACTGACATATTTTATAGAAATAGTTTCTTTTCATTTTGAAGTAATATTAAAATATTCAGAAGAAAAAAGCCACAAATGATGTAAAATCATCAGTGTTGTGGAGTAACAGATTACATGTACCAGAGTAATCAGAGTACAAATGATGAGTAACTGTATTCAGTTACAGTTACTGTTTCAGTGAGTGGGAATTGGATTACAGTTACTTTGTTGAAATAAATGGATTAAACAGAGGGATTTTACTGTTTTCCTGTTTGTTTGTTTTTTTGGTCATTCCAGTCATTGCCGGAAACTAAACCAGGACTAAACCAGGACTAAACCAGGACTAAACCAGGTCTAAACCAGGACTAAACCAGGTCTAAACCAGGACTAAACCAGGTCTAAACCAGGTCTAAACCAGGACTAAACCAGGACTAAACCAGGACTAAACCAGGTCTAAACCAGGTCTAAACCAGGACTAAACCAGGACTAAACCAGGTCTAGGACTACCAACCAGGTCTAAAACCAGGACTAAACCAGGACTAAAAACCAGGTCTAAACCAGGACTAAACCAGGACTAAACCAGGACTAAACCAGGACTAAACCAGGTCTAAACCAGGACTAAACCAGGTCTAAACCAGGACTAAACCAGGACTAAACCAGGACTAAACCAGGTCTAAACCAGGTCTAAACCAGGACTAAACCAGGTCTAAACCAGGACTAAACCAGGTCTAAACCAGGTCTAAACCAGGTCTAAACCAGGACTAAACCAGGACTAAACCAGAGGCGTCTCAGTGACATTTTCAGTGTCTTAATCACATTTTCCAGCATTTCCATGACCGTAGGAAACCTGAACATAAGAAGTCCTTGTTAAATCCTGGCGTAGTCCTGGTTTCAGGTATTTTACTGTTTTCCTGTTTTTTGGTCATTCCAGTCATTGCCAGAAACTAAACCAGGACTAAACCAGGACTAAACCAGGTCTAAAACCAGGACTAAACCAGGACTAAACCAGGACTAAACCAGGTCTAAAACAGGATTGAACAGGACTAAATCCTGCTGTGTGGACGTGTCTCTTCGTTTTCTATCAATAATAGTTTTAATTTGGTTCAGTAAAGTCTGGGCTTTTTTATTTTCTTTTAGCAGATAAAACTTCTTATGTGAAGATTTCCTCGTCTTTGTTTCTCTACAGAAAATCAAATAATCCAAAGTAATCAGATTACATTACTCACTTTAAGTAATTTAATGGATTCTGTTACAAACTACATGTTGGTGTGTGTAATCTGTAATCTGTACATTTTAAAAGTAAACTTCCCCACACTGAAAATCCTGCACCTTCTACTTGTTTACACAGTTTTCCCTCCGTCACTTTTCCCTCCGTTACCATGACGTTTCTTAATAAAAAATCTCATGAGTCAAAAAGTCAGAGGTTTTTCATCCTAATCTTGTACCATATGGTAGAAAACTATATGAAGCAAATATTCAAACCAGTTTGTTAAGGATATGGAAGTGAGAACCAAGAGTTATCACTGTTTGGATTTATTGACCAAAAAGTGCTGCATATTTCATTCCCTCCGTTACCCACATGAGTTTTAAAATTTTTTGTCTTGAACTTGAAAGAATCTCACAGGTTTAACTTGACCCTGTTGGAGTGTAACTCTTTCCTACATTCTGATACTTTACTTATTCCAATAGTCCCTCTAGTTTCTGAATAAGAGACATTTGAATGTCAAAAATCTGCCCCTGTTTCCCTCCGGTACTGCTTGACCGGACCCATTTGCCTTTTAGTTTTTGTCTAAATGTGACAGTTTTGGATCTGCTCATTTAGACTTTTTTTTAAATACTAAGTTTGATCTCAGTTCTTGGTGTGACTCTAAACACTCTCACACACTGATAAAGTAAAAACTGTGCTCACTATTTTCTTTCTTTCGTCCTGGACTGACCCGCAGGACGAGCCCAGCGCCGACGGGACGAGGAGGAAAAACAACGGGTCAAGTGAAACATTAAACCCACACTCCAGGTGTTTAAAAGGAATCGCCTCAAATCATTTTAGGCTGGATTTTTCACAGAAATTCTGTCGCACACTTACATTTATTTATTTGTTTGTTTCTTTCATTTGTAAAGTATAAAAAGACGTCAAAAGTGTCACAAAATCAAACAAGAAATGAACAAAAAGCAGCAGAAAGAAAAGTCATCTTACATTCTCTGCCCTTTTCATCATCTCACGGTGCGATATTTATCACGATATTTTGATTTTTTTGTAGATGAGATGCTTTTTTTGTCTTTTAAAATCCCTTGACGAGATTTTGGTGTGAATTATTTCTGTCATAATCCCAAGAATTCAAGTCAAAACATGTTTCTTTATGTTGTTTTCGCTGAAATGAATCATGGGAAATGTAGTTTCTCCAAGTTGTTTCTATAAAACCATGAATTTAAACTAAGAAACTTTTGAATCGAAATATTGTGACTTAATCCATGTGTCATTCGTTCATTTGTTTTTCAAAATAAAACCAAAAATAAGAAAATGAAAAAACAACAATTTTTACTATTTTCTTCATTATTTGTCTCCAAAACCAAAATGAAAAGACAGATAAAGATTCGTTTTTTCAGTTTTTAATTTTGTGTTTAAATGAAAAATGGAAAAAAAAAAAAAAAAAAAAAAACGGACTAAACCAGGACTGAACCATTTTCAGTCCGGGTCTGGTCCCAGTCCTGGTCTCAGTCTGGTTCTGGTTCAGTCCTTTATCTGTTTTTTTCCCCATGTTTGTTTTGTTTTTGTTTGTTTTTTCGTTTTCTTTTTTTGGTTTTATTTTGAAAAAACTAACGACCCACGGCTCGTGACAGTCCACGATGTTATTCTGAGACTTTTGATGATATCACGATATTTTGGGTTTTGTTTCACTTTTATTACTAAAAATGTCAGATCAGCACGTTTCAGTTCAGACAAAATTATTCATCAGCTGCAACAGAAATCTTCACTTTTCTGCACAAATTTAACCTCGTTTCGTTTTTCACACAAACAAACTGCGCTGGATTTGATGTTTTATTCTGAGATCAATAAATCTGTTGTATGAATAAAGTGAACACAGTTTACTCCTACATTTGTTTCATGTTGAGAATTGAATAAAATAAAGAGTTTTGTGACTCACCTGCAGCAAGTGGCTTTTGTCTCCAAACCCTTTGACCAGGAGCCAGTACAGAGTCTGGACCAGACTCGGTCCAGATAAATCCTCCAAACTCTTCAGCTTCACCGCGCGCTCCGGGGCCGCCGCCTGCAGGTTCACACTCCTGCAGGACCCGAGCCCGGACCCGAGCCCGGGCAGGACCCGGGGCAGGACCGGGGACAGGACCCGGGGCAGGAGCAGCGTGAGGCGGCCGGAGGTCCCCGCTGCTGCCGCCGCCGCTGGGCTCATCGTGTCCGCGGTTTGAGCTCATTCTGCTCGACGGGAGGCAAAGACTTGTGGGTAAAACGTCACGCCCCTCGACACGCAGCGCAAATATTTCCCTTTGTTTGCCTCCGAGTCTTTAATTAGACTCGGTGTCTGCGGGTTTTTCTGGAGCTCGGGCCAAATGAACTTTCCCCAAACCTGGAGACACCGAGAAGAAAAACACAAGAGAAAAACTGAAAAAACCTGAGACCAGAGACCAGTGACCTGAGACCTGAGACCTGAGAGACCTGAGACCTGAGACCTGAGACCTGAGACCTGAGAGACCTGAGACCTGAGACCTGAGAGACCTGAGACCTGAGACCTGAGAGACCTGAGACCTGAGACCTGAGACCTGAGACCTGAGAGACCTGAGAGAGACCTGAGAGACCTGAGACCTGAGACCTGAGACCTGAGACCTGAGACCTGAGACCTGAGACCTGAGACCTGAGACCTGAGAGACCTGAGAGACCTGAGACCTGAGACCTGAGACCTGAGACTGAGACCTGAGACCTGAGACCTGAGACCTGAGACCTGAGACTGAGACCTGAGACCTGAGACCTGAGAGAGAGACCTGAGAGACCTGAGACCTGAGACCTGAGACCTGAGACCTGAGAGAGACCTGAGACCTGAGACCTGAGACCTGAGAGACCTGAGACCTGAGACCTGAGACCTGAGAGACCTGACCTGAGACCTGAGACTGAGACCTGAGAGACCTGAGACTGAGACCTGAGACCTGAGACCTGAGAGACCTGAGAGACCTGACCTGAGACCTGAGAGACCTGAGAGACCTGAGACCTGAGACCTGAGACCTGAGACCTGAGACCTGAGAGACCTGAGACCTGAGAGAGACCTGAGAGCTGAGACCTGAGGCCGAGACAGAGACCTGAGACCTGAGACCTGAGACCTGAGACCTGAGACCTGAGACCTGAGACCTGAGACAGAGACCTGAGACCTGAGACCTGAGACCTGAGACCTGAGACCTGAGACCTGAGACCTGAGACCTGAGACCTGAGACCTGAGACCTGAGACCTGAGAGAGACCTGAGACCTGAGACCTGAGAGACCTGAGACCTGAGAGAGACCTGAGACCTGAGAGACCTGAGAGACCTGAGACCTGAGACCTGACCTGAGACCTGAGACCTGAGAGACCTGAGACCTGAGACCTGAGACCTGAGACCTGAGACCTGAGACCTGAGAGAGACCTGAGAGACCTGAGACCTGAGACCTGAGAGACCTGAGACCTGAGAGACCTGAGACCTGAGACCTGAGACCTGAGAGACCTGAGAGAGAGACCTGAGAGACCTGAGACCTGACCTGAGACCTGAGACCTGAGACCTGAGAGACCTGAGACCTGAGACCTGAGACCTGAGACCTGAGACCTGAGAGACCTGAGAGACCTGAGAGACCTGAGACCTGAGACCTGAGACCTGAGACCTGAGAGAGACCTGAGACCTGAGAGACCTGAGAGACCTGAGACCTGAGACCTGAGACCTGACCTGAGACCCGAGACCCGAGACCTGAGACCTGAGACCTGAGACCTGAGACCTGAGGCAAAAGACCTGAGACCTGAGACCTGAGAGACCTGAGACCTGAGAGACCTGAGAGAGACCTGAGACCTGAGACCTGAGACCTGAGACCTGAGACTGAGACCTGAGACCTGAGACCCGAGACCTGAGACCTGAGAGACCTGAGAGAGACCTGAGACCTGAGACCTGAGAGACCTGAGACCTGAGACCTGAGAGACCTGAGAGACCTGAGACCTGAGACCTGAGACCTGAGAGAGAGACCTGAGAGACCTGAGAGACCTAAGAGAGACCTGAGAGACCTGAGAGACCTGAGAGACCTGAGAGAGACCTGAGAGACCTGAGAGAGACCTGAGAGACCTGAGACCTGAGAGACCTGAGAGACCTGAGAGAGACCTGAGACCTGAGACCTGAGAGACCTGAGAGACCTGAGAGACCTGAGAGACCTGAGAGAGACCTGAGAGACCTGAGAGACCTGAGACCTGAGACCTGACCTGACCTGAGACCTGAGAGACCTGAGACCTGAGAGACCTGAGACCTGAGACCTGAGAGACCTGAGAGAGACCTGAGACCTGAGACCTGAGACCTGAGAGAGACCTGAGACCTGAGACCTGAGACCTGAGACCTGAGAGACCTGAGACCTGAGACCTGAGACCTGAGACCTGAGAGACCTGAGACCTGAGACCTGAGACCTGAGAGACCTGAGACCTGAGAGACCTGAGACCTGAGAGACCTGAGAGAGAGACCTGAGAGACCTGAGACCTGAGACCTGAGACCTGAGACCTGAGAGACCTGAGAGACCTAGAGAGAGACCTGAGAGACCTGAGACCTGAGAGACCTGAGACCTGAGACCTGAGAGACCTGAGAGACCTGAGACCTGAGAGACCTGAGACCTGAGAGAGAGACTGAGACCTGACTGAGACCTGAGAGACCTGAGAGACCTGAGACCTGAGACCTGAGAGACCTGAGACCTGAGACCTGAGAGACCTGAGAGACCTGAGACCTGAGAGACCTGAGACCTGAGAGACCTGAGACCTGAGACCTGAGAGACCTGAGAGACCTGAGACCTGAGACCTGAGACCTGAGACCTGAGACCTGAGACCTGAGACCTGAGAGACCTGAGACCTGAGAGACCTGAGACCTGAGACCTGAGACCTGAGACCTGAGACCTGAGAGACCTGAGAGACCTGAGACCTGAGACCTGAGACCTGAGACCTGAGACCTGAGACCTGAGACCTGAGAGACCTGAGACCTGAGAGACCTGAGACTGAGACCTGAGAGACCTGAGAGACCTGAGACCTGAGACCTGAGACCTGAGAGACCTGAGACCTGAGAGAGACCTGAGACTGAGACCTGAGAGACCTGAGAGAGAGACCTGAGACCTGAGACCTGAGAGACCTGAGACCTGAGACCTGAGAGACCTGAGAGACCTGAGAGACCTGAGAGACCTGAGACCTGAGACTGAGACTGACCTGAGACCTGAGACCTGAGAGACCTGAGACCTGAGAGACCTGAGACCTGAGACCTGAGAGACCTGAGAGACCTGAGAGACCTGAGACTGAGAGACCTGAGACCTGAGACCTGAGACCTGAGAGAGACCTGAGACCTGAGACCTGAGACCTGAGAGACCTGAGACCTGAGACCTGAGAGACCTGAGACCTGAGACCTGAGAGACCTGAGACCTGAGACCTGAGAGAGACCTGAGAGACCTGAGACCTGAGACCTGAGAGAGACCTGAGACCTGAGACCTGAGACCTGAGACCTGAGACCTGAGAGACCTGACCTGAGACCTGAGACCTGAGACCTGAGACCTGAGACCTGAGAGACCTGAGAGACCTGAGACCTGAGACCTGAGAGACTGAGAGACTGAGACCTGAGAGACTGAGACCTGAGACCTGAGAGAGACCTGAGAGACCTGAGAGACCTGAGAGACCTGAGAGACCTGAGACCTGAGAGAGACCTGAGAGACCTGAGAGACCTGAGAGACCTGGAGACCTGAGACCTGAGAGACCTGAGACCTGAGAGACCTGAGACCTGAGACCTGAGACCTGAGACCTGAGACCTGAGAGACCTGAGAGACCTGAGACCTGAGACCTGAGACCTGAGAGACCTGAGACCTGAGAGACCTGAGACCTGAGACTGAGACCTGAGACCTGAGACCTGAGACCTGAGACCTGAGACCTGAGAGAGACCTGAGACCTGAGACCTGAGACCTGAGAGACCTGAGAGACCTGAGACCTGAGAGACCTGAGACCTGAGACCTGACCTGAGACCTGAGACCTGAGACCTGAGACCTGAGACCTGAGAGACCTGAGACCTGAGAGAGACCTGAGAGACTGAGAGACCTGAGACCTGAGAGACCTGAGACCTGAGAGACCTGAGACCTGAGACCTGAGACCTGAGACCTGAGACCTGAGACCTGAGACCTGAGACCTGAGACCTGAGAGACCTGAGACCTGAGACCCTGAGACCTGAGACTTGAGAGACTGACCTGAGAGACCTGAGAGACCTGAGAGACCTGAGACTGAGACCTGAGACCTGAGAGACCTGAGACCTGAGACCTGAGACCTGAGACCTGAGAGACCTGAGACCTGAGACCTGAGAGACCTGAGACCTGACTGAGACTGAGACCTGAGACTGAGACCTGAGACCTGAGAGACCTGAGAGACCTGAGACCTGAGAGAGACCTGAGACCTGAGACCTGAGACCTGACCTGAGAGACCTGAGACCTGAGACCTGAGACCTGAGACCTGTGAGACCTGAGACCTGAGAGACCTGAGAGACTGACCGAGACCTGAGACCTGAGAGAGACCTGAGACCTGAGACCGAGCTGAGAGACCTGACCTGAGACCTGAGAGAGACCTGAGACCTGAGAGACTGAGAGACCTGGACCGACCTGAGACCTGAGAGATCCGAGACCTGAGACCTGAGACCTGAGAGACCTGAGACCTGAGACCTGAGACTGAGACTGTGACCTGTGACCCGAGACCTGAGACTGAGACCTGAGACTGAGACCCGAGACCTGAGGCAAAAGACCTGAGACCTGAGACTGAGACTGAGACCCAAGAACTGAGACCTGAGACTGAGAGACCTGAGAGACTGAGACTGAGACCTGAGACCTGAGAGACCTGAGACTGAGAGCTGAGACCTGAGACCTGAGACCTGAGAGACCTGAGACCTGAGACCTGAGACCTGAGAGACTGACTGAGAGACCTGAGACTGAGAGACCTGAGACCTGAGACCTGAGAGACCTGAGACCTGAGAGACCTGAGACCTGAGAGAGACCTGAGAGACCTGAGAGAGAGACCTGAGACCTGAGACCTGAGAGACCTGAGACCTGAGAGACCTGAGACCTGAACCTGAGAGACCTGAGACCTGAGACCTGAGAGACCTGAGACCTGAGACCTGAGACCTGAGACCTGAGAGACCTGAGACCTGAGACCTGAGAGACCTGAGAGACCTG